GTCAGAGTTATCACCTACAGAACAACAGAAAGAAATGTAGACCACCTTAACTGTGGGTTTGCATTGTACGGCATGACTAGAACTTGTGCCGTTGAAGTTCCAGAAATCACATTTCAGATGATTGACCTCAGCTCTTCCAGTTCCCTGGACATCTCAGTGCTAGCAGATGTTCTTGTCAAATACAAAGGTGTGGACTACCCAGAAGTTTGCATCAGCCAAGGAAGAATTTATGTGGCTGAAATCAGACGCACACCTTTTGTAGATGCAGATTACAGCCAACCCATAAGATCTCTCCAGAAGTCAGAAACATTCACTTTGTATACCTCTGATCCATACTCAGCAAAAGACTTGTCTGCTGAATTATCCACCAGCACTGCTACTCAGCTTGACAAACAGAGCATTGAAATTCAAGTGGATAAAATATGTCTCCACTCAGACGATTATTTTCCCATTAGTGTTTCTAGTCGTAACTTTGGTAATACACTGTACTGGAATTCACAAGCAGTGGACAAACACGGACTTTTAGCTCTTGATTTCAGTGGCACAGTAACAGCAATAGGCTCTGATGTGAAGAAAGTTAAAGTGGGAGATCACGTGGTTTCATGTTATCCAGCTGCTGCATCATCCAGAGTTCGGATTCCAGGAACAGTTTGTTTCAATGTAAAGAAATTCCCATGCTTTCAGAATGTCCCTTGTGTGTCATACTTTATCATTGCTTGGGAAATCTTCAATCAGAGGTTACCCAAGGGGAAACACAGCAGAACATTGGGTATTATTTCCACAGAGCCATCATCAGTTTTGTGCCATGTTCTTTCTGCAGCAGCAGAAGAGATGGGTTGGAGAACAGTACTTGCAAGGCCCACTCCTGATAATTTCCAGTATATAAACTTATGCAATGCCCTTGTTGTTCTTCCTCCAGTGAATAGACTGTCTTGGGAGGATCTGGCCCACATGTACTTTCTTAAAGATGTGGTGATAGTGTGTGGCAATCGACAGTCTGAATGTATGCAGAATGTCAGTGGAATTGACCATGAAAGTATCAGCTTTCATATCCTTACACTTAACAGCACTTTCCAGAAAGCATCTCTGAAGGAAGTGCAAAAGACTGTGCATGCGTGGATCAATTCCATGGATATGAAACGGTTTAGAGGTCTATCAGGTTCTGTTTTTCAGCAGACTGAGAACTTTGAAAGAATGAACTCCGTGATGTCCTATTTTACCTGCACATCTGTCCCACTTGCTGTACTGAGAAGGCAGAAGGATATCACCATGCTTTCAGATATACCGTTGTATGAGTCCCAGAAGAAGTTGTTTAAGCAGAATGCTGTTTACATAGTAGTTGGGGGGCTCACTGGACTTGGCTTTGAAACGGTGAAATTCATAGCCGAGAACGGAGGAGGGTGTATTGCAATACTGTCTAGGAAAAGTCCAAGCAATGAGAAGCAAGAAGAGATGAAAGCTTTGCGGCAGCGGTATAAAGGGAGCAAAGTAGTGTTTGTGCAGTGTGATGTTACTTCAACCAGTGATGTTGAGAAAGCTTTCCAGAACATTGTGAACATCTTTGCGGGGCGTCCAATCAAAGGTGTGTTTCAAAGTGCTGTTGTTTTACACGATGGCCGTCTTGAAGTTCTGAAGTTGGCTGACTTTCAGAAAGTGCTGAGCCCAAAAGTAGCAGGGACCCTAAATCTTCATTGGGCTACCAGAGGCCAGGAGCTTGACTACTTTGTGTGCTACTCCTCTGTTACTTCCTTTCTGGGAAATTCCACCCAGGCAAACTATGCAGCTGCAAACTCTTTCCTGGATGTCTTCTGCCTCTATAGGAGGAACTGTGGCCTTTCAGGCCAATCGATCAACTGGGGTGCTTTGAACCTTGGCATACTGCTCAATCAAAACCATATTCAGAACATTCTGGGATCCAAGGGCATAGACATTCTGCAAGTGCATGAAATACATGAGTACCTCAGGAAGAGCTTACTTATGAATAATCCGCAACAAGCCGTCGCCAAATTAAATTTTCAAATTTTATATAACCATGTTTTTTCTCGGATTACATCGCTGAAAAATCGCTTCATATCACTTATGTCAGAAGAATTCAGGAACAAGCTTGAAACCTCTGAGGAAACTCAAATACAAGCCCAGGATACTGCCTTAATCAAATCTGAGGACTATATCACCGCGCTGGTGAGTGACCTCACTGGATTGAACCCAGATGAACTAACCATGAATACAGCACTTTCATCATTGGGCATAGACTCTATGTCAGCTATGACAATTCAGAACCGTGTCTTTCAAGAGAGAAAGGTGGACATACCTCTTCTGAAGCTGCTTGATCCTCACACAACTCTGTCAAGTTTAGTAGTAGTTTTAGAAGAAACAAGCAATGAAAATGGAATAGTTGAGAAAAAAAATGCTGTGGTTGAAAGTGCAGAGAATGGGAGCTGGCTATAGGAGTCTCCTCATTCAGGAACTGTGTGACTTTGAAGATACCTG